TGTTACTCAACTACTCATAGAAAGGATGCTGAGAATCTCAGTTCTGGCGGCTTCCCTTGAGTTCGAGTCACAGTCAGCAAGCCTGTGAATGCACCCCATCTGCTTGTTAAAAAAGTTTGAGAGATTTCGCAGTGTAACCTGTTTTTTCAACTTTATATTCCCAGTCTGTCAAGATCTCTTGTTTTATTTCAAATTTCACCTCCGCTCTGACCATCAGTGGAGTCTGACGTTCCCCTCTTCTCACCGCAGAGTTTTGTAATGTCCAGAGAGTCCAAAGTATGGCTCTTCTTATTGTCTCTTTAGCATAACGAAATCGGTCAGCCTGCTGAGATCTTCGAGAGACTGTTCCCATCAGTACATACTGATCAGTCCAGCGAATGTCAGGTTCCGGGACTGGCACTGAGCCCCCCCTCCACCAGGCCCAAAAGGGTTGGGACATCTCACAAAGAAGGAGAAAGTGATGCAAATCGTCAACTCTTGTCCCTGGGCATATTTCACATCGCGGATCCGCTTTGAAAGTTCGTCTGGAGCACCAGGCTGCCACTGGAAGTGCCTGCTGCATTATCAGCCACAAAAGGCTCGCGTGCTTCACAACCGCCAGTTCCATCAGTAATTTCCAAAAGTGTGGTAGTGCATCCACTATACGCAACAGTGAATCTTGTACCCAATTCGCGGCCACCCATCTATTGGCTACCTTCCAATTGATGTCAATCTCCGGTGTCGCCAGCTGATAACCCAATTCGGTCGTATACTGATACATCGGTATCAGTTGTTGCGTCTGTTTCCGATTCTTCCATACCCAATTTCTCGGGTCCACAGACAGTTGGTATGAGGGGAGGGACAAACAAAAGGGTCTATAACCATTTTCGTACTCCAATACACAAACCGGCGTCAGATTTGCAAGAGGAGGAATTGGCAGCTCTTTCGGAGCCGGTGTGAGTTCTTCCCCCCATTGCTGCCCCTCCTCCATGAGTGTCCCAACAGGAGAACTGAATGTTGGCCACTGGTCAGTAATCTTCCATCTTCCAGATGACTGAAGACTCTTGTTCATGGTGAAGTTTATACCACATACTCTTCTCATATTGGAGGCCTTTTCGCAAGGTGTCCATCCAGTCCAGCGGTACTGCCTGTTGAAGTTGAGACAAATGTTGTCTTTGGTGCCACAAGCCAGTCAGAGCTGGGCCAAGTACTAAGAGCGGTTTCCAATTCCCATTTTGAACATCTCATATATCCTCAAGTATACCTATCTCTCATGACATCCAAGCATCTCCAAATGCTCCCGGTCCAAAGAAGTGAAACACTTCCCCGTTTTGTGACAAAATGGCAGAGT